CGCAACAGCTTTAAAGCCCATTTAATGCGGGATGGCATAGAACGCCGTAATGGCGTTAAGGGGTTAATTATCAACCTGACCAAAAGTAAGGGAACATTCTGCGATCGCAAGATGGCCTAAATGGAGAGGATTAACTTCCCCATGGTTGTGCACTACATATGGCAGTCAGATGGAATAAAGCAAACATCAGCTTTCTGTTTCATGGGCACTCCAGGACTAATTCTGTTGGCAATGGGAACCATGCGCAAGAGGTTCAGGTCCGTCCACCCCATGCCATGTTGTCAACTCTAGATACAGAATAACAATACACTGTAATTCGATCCCAGGAAGTTATATACAGTTCCCACAAGAGGAACATGAAGAGGAGAAAAAAGAAGAGGAAAATCTTTTCTTCTGTGAGATTTATCAACACACTGAATGCATTTTAAGTACTTCAGCGCAAGGTATTTCTTAAAGAAACACTGTCCCTTAATTTAATGTTAAACTATTTTTGAGCAGATTAACGCTGAATGGGGGTCTCTGCCTCACCATAATCCTGCCCCCTGGAGGTGTGGCTAAGACAGAGATTACACACTGCATTGCAGTCTTAGTAGTTCATACCTGCAATGGCACTGTGATACACTGAATGTAGTCAGCTGACACTGGCAGCCAATAACAGCAGCCCATTGCTGCTTAAGCTAAAGCTTCCTGCTTTCCAAGCAGCACACAGGGGATGGATGGCTGGGGACTAGTGATGTCCAGAATGGTTTGCCAAACGGTTCGCCACGGACGGCGAACATAAACTTTGACCCTGTACCTCACAGTCAGCAGACACATTCCAGCCAATCAGCAGCAGACCCTCCCTCCCAGACCCTCCCACCTCCTGGACAGCATCCCTTTTACATTCATTGTGAAGCTGCATTCTTAGTGAGCTGTCCAGGAGGTGAGAGGATCTGGGAGGGAGGGTCTGCTGCTGATTGGCTGGAATGTATCTGCTAACTGTGAGGTACAGGGTCAAAGTTTATGTTTATGTAACCGTTCGGTGAACCGTTCGGGACATCACTACTGGGGACTCTTACTTAGCATTAAAGCAATATAGAACAGTTTACTGCTGAATGGAAGAACAGCGTCAGGGATTCAAACACTATAACCATTACAATGACTTTTTAACTATATGACAATGAAAATGATATATATATATATATTATTTGTGATCAGAACTTAATAGTATGTGTAATAGTGCTTGATAGTGTTGTGCTGAAACCAACGTACGGGTAGGCCTGCAATAAAAGAGGGCCCACCAAGGATAATGTAATAATAAAATAGTTGAGGGAGTGATGGGTGGTGTCACTTGTAACTGAAACGGCATAAGTAAGTAAGGGGATTGGGTTTATATAGGGAAAACTCATCCCACAAATCCAGGCCTTTGGCCCTATACATATATATAATATAAATATAAACATAAAAAACAGGCACACATAGCACACTTTGCCAACCCCAACAAACACATACACAACAAACACTTGGGGGAGCCATTCATCAATCCCTGCACCAGGGTCCTTTAGTTTGTAGTTATGTCCCTGTCTATGCTTTCACCTAATAATATGTAACTATTTAAAGTGATTAGTACAATGATGGATCCAGACAGAACAATGTTTTGTAACAACTACATCCTACATATGTGGAGTGTGGATATGAAACATGGTGCTCTGCGCAAATTTCTACTTTATCCCTGGCTGATGAAAATTAATGAGTTTTAAATTTAGCTACCAAGCAAATTACCGTATTTATCGGCGTATAACACGCACTTTTTCTCCCTGAAAATAGGGGAGAAATCGTGGGTGCGTGTTATACGCCGGCCCTTTAAATGCTGCAGCCGCCTGAGCGCTCTGTCAAGAGCGCTCAGGCGGCTGCAGTTGGTACTCACCTCCCCTGTATCGTGGCCGAGCCGCTCTGCCGTCCGCGGTGGCCGGCCGGCGTGATAGGAAGGTGCACGCTCAGTGTGCACCTTCCTGTCAGTCCGACCAGGTACAGGAAACAGAAACTCCTGTCCGGCCACCACGGACGGCAGAGCGGCTCGGCCACGCTACAGGGAAGGGGGGTAAGAAGGGGGGGAGTAAGAAGAGGGGAAGTAAGAAAAGGGGGGTACAGAAAGGGGAGTAAGAAAGGGGAAGGGGTAAGAAGAGGGAGGAGCTAAAGGGAGGGAGGAGAGTAGAAAGGGAGGGGTAGAAGAGAGTAAGAGAAAGGGGAGGAGGGGTAGAAGAGGGGAGTAAAGAAAGGGGTAGAAGAAGAGGTAAGAAAGGGGGTAAAGAGGGAAGTAGAAGGGAGTAAGAAGTACGAGAAAGGGGAGGGGAAACAAGAATGGGAGAGTAAGAGGGGAAGGGGAAGTAAGAAGGGGTAAGAGGGGGAAGGGGAAGTAAGAAGAGGGGGAGGGGGGAGTAAGAAAGGGGGGTAAGAAGTTCTTTATTTGAAATTTAAAGGACCACTCTAGGCACCCAGACCACTTCAGCTTTATGAAGTGGTCTGGGTGCCAGGTCCCTCTAGGATTAACCCTTTTTTTTATAAACATAGCAGTTTCAGAGAAACTGCTATGTTTATACTGAGGGTTAATCCAGCCTCCAGAGCCTCTAGTAGCTGTCTCATTGACAGCCGCTAGAGGCGCTTGCGTGCTTCTCACTGTGAAAATCACAGTGAGAGCGCCGCATAGCGTCCATAAAAGCACCGTAAATGCTTTCTAACCCGACTGGTGGCGGCTCCTGCGATAGCGTCCAGCGAGCAGGAGGAGGAGTACAGCTCCCCGCCCGGCGCTGGAGAAAGGTAAGTGTTTAACCCCTTCCTCTCTCCAGAGCCCGGCGGGAGGGGGACCCTGGGGGTGGGGGCACCCTCAGGGCACTATAGTGCCAGGAAAACGAGTATGTATATATATATATATACACACACACACACACACACACACATTTCTATTAAAGAGATACATTAAGCATACATATTATTTTAGATTGCTGTACCTCTTTTCTGTTTTTAGTGATATTTGTGGGAATTTATTAATGTGAACTGCTGCAGGAAATAGAGCAATACAATTAATAATTACTTTATATAGGAGTGCCACAGATAGAGGATTATATTGGTAAATATAACTCTTAATGAGGAATAGGTTCATTTCAGACAAAACTGCAGTTCAGGGCCATTGGGTGATAGGACGAAATTCTGAATTCCAAGCCGGCAAGCACCCAAATCTCAGTGGAATCGACACACTTGAGCCAGAATTTGATTCTGAGTGGCGTTCCTGGCACCATAAAAATTGGGGATGCAATGGAGAAGAACTGTTTTTTTTCCTTCTGAGTCCTCGATTAAATATTGTTGGGTGAGCTTTTCAAATGATTTCATTTTTTTGGATAAAGTTTTCAAATGATTCATTATTTTTTTTTTTTAAATCTTAATTTTGTAATATGTTGTAAATAATATTGTATACAAAAAAATGACAAGTTGGGCATGTCATAAAGCAGATTAACAAAATCACCTGCCTGACTATCCACCTGATCATTGTAGAGGGAATTTCCTTTTCCACAACAGAAGTGGAGCCCTTTCAGCAGTTGAGGCTTCTTCAAGTTCAATTTGCCCAACTTGCATTACCCTACTATTTACTTATTTGAGGCATTGTCATTTGCTATCTGTGATTAAACTGATCACACACCTCTCCAATCAAAGTTGTTTGTTTCTTTTAACACAGGCCAATGACTCAAACTATTTCTTTGAATGTCAAAGGCTTGAACAATCCCAAAAAAGACATTTAATGTTCAGGGAGCTAAAGAGGTTGAATTTGTTCAAAAGACACATTTGCCTAACATGGCTAATATATTCCTAAGGGTCAGGTGATATGATAGAGTCTAAACCTCCAGATCATTGCAAAAATGTAATGGTGTTGATATTCTAATCAACAATAAATTAATTTTTTTAAGTGAATCAAGCATTCACAAATATTAAAGGCAGATATATTCTCCTCACAGAGTTGATATGCGGTCAAACATTACATCTTCTAAACTTATATGCAAACAATATTTGACTTCCAAAAGCTTTACATAAAGCTGAAGCCAGGCACAAAACCAACCCTGACTAACGTTTTACAGGAACCGAGAGGTATACGATTACAAATTAAATGTGTGTTATTAGATTATGTAACCTGTAAACTTACTTAACCGCGTAGTTTCTTTTATGAGAAGGAAAGTAGGATGGGTACCCTTTTAGAACGCACTCTCCGGCTCAGAACTTGAGCTAAGCCCATGAAAGCCATACATGACCCCCATGGAAGAATGCTGACATCCCCAAATGAAATATACAACACGTTAAGAGATTATTTTATACACATTACAATCATACTCCTTCACACTCCACCTCAAATCCATCTTACACGGCCACTGTAGACACTTTTATCACTCCCTCATGCTTCCTGGCATCCCGACTCTGGGCTAGAGACATTAGGTGCTGAAGTTACTTAACTACTCTATATAATATCATATTGAAAGGTAGAACACTGTCCCGTGACAAATATCTTGGCAAATATAATCTTGCTCCCCAAAGAAGGCAGCAATCTCACCCACATCAGCAATTATAGATCAATTTCACCAATAAATCAAGACACCAAAATCTTAGCTAAAATACTGGCAAAACGGCTGTACCGAATTCTGACGACTCATCCATCCCGTTCAGGTTAGATTCATCCCAGAATACCAGATTAACAATACACCTGGTCTGGAGAGCACATACTATTTGTGTAATCTCGTAGGAACAAATGTATAAAATATGAAAATATGCATGAGCAAAACACCTTCTGATATGTGATGGCGACAGTGTAGCCAGCGTGGAATGTATTTGCACGTATGGAATGTATTTGCATGTATTTTGTATATGTTATGGATGCATCCGGTGGTGGTTCCCTATTGTAATGAGGTTGAGGGGTTATTGGCAGCCATATTCCACAGGCCTTTTGTGTTAAATCCCTGGATGTCCCTTCTGTCCAGCCCCAAAGAGAGCACAAAGGCTCATTAAAAAGATCATGTTCTAAGCAAAGAGAGCCATAGCTGAATATCACAGACCCTTCAAAGATGGAAGTTAAAACACAAATCACATAAAAGCATTCAACTTGGGGAAACCACTTGAGGCATTCATTGTGTTGAGCTATTTCAATTGCTTTTGCTTGATTTGTACATGTGATGAAAGCCACTTTGCCACTGGGGTTTGGAGGGGACTACTTGCCAGCCTTTTACCCTGTGACTATGGCCCCTTTAATTTATTGTGGTTGAGAGACACTATTTGTGCCTGTTAGGACTTGGAACAATGGTCTTCGAACTTTCGAAGTGGCACTTCGAACAGTCGAAGTGAGTCGAAGTAGTCGAAGTGGCTGCCATTCGACATTCAAACATGTGGCGGCAGCCATCTTATTTGGTCGACCATGTCGTGCTGAACAGTTGCCTTCCATTACAATGTAATGTTTTGGTTTTTAGAGTGTCCTTTTAAGGGACCCTGCACAAGATAGAAATAATTGTCGGAAGCATACCTTGAGTGTTTGGGACGCGAGGCAGATTTATCTGTTGGCTTTTCTTGCTGTGAATTTAAAATTTAAATGGACACTTAGGTCACCATAATCAGATAATATTACTGTAAAAGGTTACGCTGCTAAAAGGCTATAGAAGCATTTGATAATTTTCCTGGAATTCAAAGCTCTTCCCCTCTGATACAAATCAAGTTATATTAAATTTCTCTTTCCTTCCCCATTTTGTATCTCAGCTTCACTTAGGTCTCCTTATTGTATCTCAATTCTTCTTCTACCCAAGTTGTATCCACCTCCCTCTTCTGACTCTTACTTGTGCTCCAACTCTATTGCTCTCTCAATTATTTCCCTCTTCACCATTTATACTCTTATGTCTCCAGCTCAATCTGTGCTTAATTATATTCCTATATCTCTTTCCATTACTTTTGTGTGTCTCTCTTCACCCCTTCA